GGAAGGCGGAGACAAATGTATTTCAAAAAATAAGTAAATTAAATTAAAAAAAAGAAGTGTAAATGATGATAGAGAGAGACTTGACTTGGGGTCACAAATACACAATACAGTGTACAGATGATCTGTTGCAGAACTGTACCCCTGAAACCTGTATAATTTTATTAACCAGTGTCACCCGAATAAACTCAATAAAAAGGAAAAAAAGGGGGGAAAAGCATGTAAATTTGAAGGGAAAAATTATATTTAGATTTTCACTAACTTCAAACTGAAATTTAGCATTTTATTTCACTATAAATTTAAGCAACGAAGTATAGAGGTACTGGTAGTAACTGTGACTTTTCTTTTAAACCAGTATCACAGATACTGTTGTATCACAAGTTATTGAAGGTTTCTTGAAATGTTTATCACTACTTCAAAATTAGTTTTTTAGACCTGTCATTATATATTGCATTTAATGTGTTAAAGAAGTACATACGTTATTATATCACAAATGTGATTGGATAAGTGTATCGTTTTATTATAGTTGGTTTCCTTCATATTTTATTTCATACATTTAAATGTTATCTGATAACAGACTCATAGAGGACAAACTGATGGTTGCCAGATAGGAGGGGGATTTGGGGCTGGGTGGAAAAGGTGAAGGGATTGAGAAGTAGAAATTGGTAGTTACAGAATAGTCATGGGGATGTAGAGTACAGTTCAGGGAATGTAGTCAATAGTATTGTAACTATGTACGGTGCCAGGTGGGTACTAGATTTATTGGGATAATCACTTCATAAAGTATATAAATGTCCAATCACTATATTGTACACCTGAGACTAATATAATATTGTATGTCAACTGTAATTGAAGAAAATAAAAATTAAAATAAAAAATGTTATTCTGATAAAAAAAAAAAGATTGGCTCTTGATGAGCAGATGATAAAACATGGCCCATCCTCTACAATGTGATGACCCCTTGAAAGCATTATGTCTGTAGACACAAAAGGCTGTCTATCAAATGAAATATCTAGAACAGGTAAATCCATACAGAAAGAAACTAGATTAGTAGTTGCCAGGGGCAGACAGAGGGAGAATGGGGAATGACAACTACTGGGTAGGAGGCTTCTCTTTGGGTGATAAAATGTTCTGTAATTAGATGGTGATGATAGTTGCATAACACTACAGGTATATGAAAAATCACTCAATTGTACAATTTAAAAATTAAAATGTCAATTTTATGGTATGTGAATTATATCTCAATAAGAACAAAAAAAAATTAAAACCTATGATAGCTCTAGGTCTGGCGAGTGTGTCTCAGTTGGTTGGGTGTCATCCTGCAAACCAAGGGTCACTGGTTCAATTCCCAGTCAGGGTACATGCCTGGGTTGCAGGCTCAAGGCAACCAATCAATGTTTCTCCCCTACATTGATGTTTCTCTCCCTCTTTCCCTCTTTTCCCTCCTCACTAAAATCAATAAAAGAAAAAAACAAAAACAACCAAAAAACCACTGATGGCTCTAAAGAGTTGTAGTTCAGGAAAAAATCTTTGTTTTAACAAGTGGGGTGGGGAAGTCCTGGCTGGGGTGGCTCAGTTGGAGCATCATCCTGTAACCAAAAGGTCATGGATTCAATCCCCAGTTGGGGAGCATATGGAAGGAACCACTTGGTGTTTCTCTCAGATTGATGTTTCTCTCTCTCTGCCTTCCTCTCTCTCTAAAAGTAATGAAGAAGAAAAAGAAAAATTATGTGTGTGGGGGGAAAGCAGCACACAAAATTGATCACAACTTTGTAAAACAAAACAAAGGCCTGGGAAGGGAATGTTATCAAAATGATTGTCCTGAGGCAACTTGAATGTTTACTTCTTCAGCAAGAAATTTTAAATGTTGGTGTTCTATGTTTTTACAACTTATTTGCATAGCTACTTGTACCATATACCCATCTACCCGATGGTCCCTTTCAGGTGCCTGATCCTAGAGCTGTGATCCAGCAGCCTCCAGGAGACTCTCTTGGAAGCAATCCTACGAGGCCTCTCCCATTTTGGAAAAAGCCCTTCCATAAACCCCAGGGATGAAACCTATCCACTGACAGATCGCTCAATATCCAAACCCCACGTTCCTGGGTGCGCTGGAGGTACCAGGCCCTGGGTTCAGACAGGAATAAGGTCTAAATCCTGCCCTTAAGGAGAAGCCACAGACTCTTAGAAAAGGTGGGAGCTGGAAGAGAACTTTGTGGAGGGTTAACACGATCCACACTTCAGACCACATAAGGCGGGGTGGTCTTTCGATTGTCAATCTCCAGTCTGAAATACTTGGATTTTTTCACCCTGATCACACCACCCCTGTTCAAAACCCTTGGGTGCCCACAGTTTCTCAGGACAGGTGGAAGGAAACACTGCCTGAGCTACCTCCTGCCTGGCTCTCAAATAGCCCCTTTGGCATAACAGCATGGGCGGCCTGACACACCAGGGACTCTCCCCTCTTCCTGCCTCTGGCGAGCAGGCCTTTCCCTGCTTCTTCAATGGGCTGGCTCTCTCTGGACCTTTAGAACACAGCCTCTTCTGCATCTCTACAGTGGGAATATACTGCCTCATGTTATCTACCAGCAGCAATGGGGGTTGAACAGGTATCCCCTTTCCTAGTAGACTGGGAGCTTCATAAAGGCAGAGATGGAGTCTGGGTTTTTGCTTTGTGCTATACCCCTGATCTCTGGCCCACGGGCTGTCAGCAGTAAATAACTCCTGAGTGAAAGTGTTAGCAGGCCTGCTTCTGGACTCCCACACAACCCCTGTGTCTCTTCTTGCACCATAGTATAGCTGGTGCAGATATGACTCTTACAAGCAAAACCCTCTGCCGTGGTCCTCTAAGATGCCAATCCAGCCTCAGAGGACACTTACTCGCCAGGATGCGGGGGCTGAGGGCTGGCCACTTGATTCTGCTTGGCTTTCTGTTCCATTCTGGCTTCAATTTCCCGTTTCTTCTGAGCAATGAGCTCTTCCTGGTGAAGGATGTTCATGTTCATTTTTCCAGACTTGGGAGGAGCAACCCCAAACCACCGGTTAGCCTTTCCTGGGAAGGGAAAAGAAGCACATCAGAAATTGCCTTTGCTTCACAAACATGCCCAGCAGCTTCTACATTCAAATTGACGTTCATATGTCCATTCATTCATTTATTCAGCAAACATTTACCGAGCTCTGTTACCAGGTGCTGTGTTAGATGTTAAACAAGAGAGACAGAGCCTCTGTCCATGTGGAACTCACGTGTGGCAGAAAACGGTAGGCTTGTAAAGAAGGAGCTGCAAAATTGTGATAAGAGCTCTACGATGGAAACCAAAAAAGGGTGAGGAAGAATGACAGAGGAGCACCTATAGCTAGGACAGCCAGAAAATAACTATTAGAAGAGGGAGTGATTAAGCTGAAACCATAAAGAGAAAGCACCTGTCTCCTGAAAAGCCACATAGGGAACAAGCTGAGCAGAGAAAGGAGCAGGTACAAAAACCAAAGTCTGGATTAACCTGGTGCATCCAAGGACCATTGAGGGTCCAGTGTGGCCTGAGTGAATGGTTCCAGGAATGAAGGTGCAAGAAAGGGAATCTGGGATTTATTTAAGTTCTTTGGGACATATCAGGGAGTATTAAGCTGACAATATCCAATAGATATTTTTATTTTTAAGATCATTCTGGCTACTACCTGGAGAGAGTGCATAGGCAGCGAAGAGACCAATAAGGAGGCTCTCTGGCTGCAAGCAAAAGATGATAGTGTCTTCAGAGATGGTGGTAGCTGTGGAGATGGAGAAGACGCCTTGAAGTTTCCCCATGGGACTTGGAATAAAATCCAAATTTTGAAATTCGATCTTCAAGGCCCTGGCAGTGATAGCCTCCCTCCCCGTCTTGACATTTTTCCAAAATGGCAATCCCTCCCCACCTCAAGCCCTTTGCACTTGCTACTCTCCTCTGTGTCGAAATCTCTGCCCCACAGGCCTGTCTCATTTCAAATGTCTTCTGCTCAAAAACGCCTTCCTTGACCACCCAATATCAGCAGCCTCCAGCCCTATATTCTCACATCCTAACTCTGTAAATGTTTCCTCTTGGTGCTCTGACACCCCATTAGAAGAAGGCAGGGTTCTGTTTTAGCTACCACTGCATCCCCAGCACTCAGCACAGTGACTGATACACAGTATTTGCTGAATAGGTGAATGCACCCAATCTAGGGTGGCAAGGGCTGGAAGGGAGGGAAAGGTAAGGTTAGTGGTCAAGTGGAGGCTCGAAAGGTCCAGCAATGTCTGAGAGCAGTTTGGAAAGGCAGCTTTTCCAGAAATTAGCACACAGACCAGAGGGCAGCTGCTATGAAAAGAGGGGCGCAGGACAACCCAAAGTTGCCGGTGTTTCGGGGAGCGGAGCTCGGGAAAGCCCTGAAGATGGTTTTTTCGAAAAGCGGATGCAGGTCAGACCCTGTGTCCGCCTTTCCGGAAGCCCGGTGCCCTCAGCAAACCGGGCCCGGGGTGGGGGGCAGCAACTGAATCTGGGATCTCGGTAGACCGGGGAGGTGCAGAACCTGCCGCTTCCGGTCGCCCAGAGGCTGAGGCGAGGGGCCGGCGCGGGGGAACAGGCCCGGCCGGAGGGCAAAGAAACAACGCGTGCCCCGGAGGACCAGGCCGACGCTAGAAGGGAGGCGGGGGCTGTTACCTGCAACATCCCGATTGTCCATCTTGAGACTCATCCAATCCCACAATGCTCCGGCGCCACCTGAGGAGGCAAGTTATAGTGCGCATGGCCTAATGGGAGATGTAGTTCCCGTTGGCCATCCATGCCCTGCCACTACGGGGACACCTGGGGCCTTCCTCGCAGGAACGCAAACCTAGGCCTATCGGTAATGTCTGGTCTCAGTCCCGCGGACCAAAAAACGTCGTCTTTTTTCACACCTCCCTGGAGTGGCAGCCACTCCAAATACAAACTACATGTTCCAGAAGGCTTCGTACAGCAGCTCTCGCGAGAGACTCAGAAGTGCCGGCCCCGCCCCATGCGCCTGCTTCCGCCTCCCTCTGGCGACGGCTTGTTGTTGTGGAGGCCAAAATGGCGGCTCAGGCGGCGGCAGCGGCCCAAGCGGCCGCGGCCCAGGCAGCGCAGGCTGAGACGGCCGAGTCATGGTACCTGGCACTTCTGGGCTTCGCCGAGCACTTCCGCACGTCTAGCCCGCCGAAGATCCGCCTGTGTGTCCACTGCCTGCAGGCTGTGTTCCCCTTCAAGCCGCCGCAGCGCATCGAGGCCCGTACGCACCTGCAGCTAGGCTCTGTGCTGTACCACCACACCAAGAACAGCGAGCAAGCGCGCAGCCACCTGGAGAAAGCGGTGAGCGCGGGCAGGGCCGCGAGGGAGGAGCGCGGGGCTTCTTGTGGGACCTGAGCTGGCGGGCCGCGATCGCGGCGGCGAGGGCCGTCCGGGCCGCTCCTTGGGGACCTGAGGTGCGACTTCCGTATAAGCGGCAGGACCCCAAAGCCGCCAGTATTTAGGGGAACCCTAAGGCCTCGTCCCGTCCGTCATTTAACGTCTCTAGTGACAGACAGGGCCCAGGACCCCGCTCTTCTGAGGAGAAACAGGATCCCCAAACTCTTCGGGTTTTCAGGAGATGACCTTTTGGTGCCTATGAAGACGTTCCCAGATCGCCAGTGGGTCCTGCGGCTTCCAGCTTCTCGGGGCTCAGCCCCGGAAGCATTAGTCTGAACGGTCCCTCCTGAAGTGACTCGAGATAGCGGAGGGTCGAGGTGACAGTCCAGGCATCGCTTAGGAATCTGAAGTTTGGTCTCTCAGAAAACCTAGGAAAGCATTCCCTCCCGGGACCCGGAAGTCTGATAAGGGTCTGGAGGGTATCGTGCCCCCGTCAGTGATGCAGGGAGTCATAGATGGGAGGCAAAGCTTAGAGCCTAGGGACAGTCATTTGAGGTCCTATAAGGAGTTGGAATAGAGAGAGAGAGAAGAGAGTGGAGAGAGGGAGAGGGAGAGGGAGGGGGGGAGATGAGAGAGAGAGAGAGAGGGGCGGGGGGGCGGGGCGGGGCGGGTGTCTGGATTCCAGGACCAGTTGCTCAGCGGTGGGGATGGGGGAGGGGGTCTCCCAGCTCTTGCTCTCTCTGTGTTCACCTGGTGGCTGACTCCTTTTTCTCCCACCACTCACTAGTCCATCCGCTTCGGAAGGCAGGCCTCACCGCCCCCCTCCCCCGCCCTCATCTTGACTTGTGAGATCTTGGTGCTTCAAAGAATCTGTCTGTGGAGTTTTTCTTCTCACAGCAGCACTGAATTCCTGTCAGACCATGCCTTCATTTGCCGTTTATTCTTTTAATCTGATTAATAGAGTGACTTCTTCAATGGAATCGACTTAGATTTTTAAAACGTATTGATCCGAGGTAAATCGGGGACCCTCCCCCCCCACCCCGCCCGGGCTGGTAACAAGTCGCCTTTGGGAGGATACTAGATCTTTGTTTTGCACACTGTAAAGAGTTGGAAGGGGATTTTACTCCTTGCTTGATCAACTTTCTTGTGTCGTCAGTGAGGTTGTAAGGACCCAGAGAGGTAAAGCAATTTGGCCAAAGCCACGCAGCAAGTTATTAACAAAATTGGGCTTAAACGCAGGTTCAAAATCACCAGGTTCTGTGCCAACGCAGTAAGTTATTATTGGTTTTGTGCAGTTTTATTTTTTTCAGTCATTCGACACACACTTATTTAGCTCACACCAGGTGCCAAGCCCTCTTGTAGGTGCTGGGAATCAGCAATAACTAAAACAGTCCCTGCCCATGTAAGCTTATATTTTAGTGAGGAAGACAAATAATAAATATGTAGTAAGAGGTTAGGCAGTGATAGAAGAACCATGAACAACATGGACCCGAGGAAAGGATAGAGTAGATGGAGAGCTGTCATTGGTGGAGGTACTTATATTTGAGCAAAGCCTTAAACGGGGTGAAGGGAGAGTCAGCTTGGAGAACTCCTTGGTGTGTCAGGTGATTCCCAAGGAGTGCCCAAGCTGTCGCTGGCCCATCACTAGTTTGTGGCAGGGTCTCTCTTGGACAGTGATGAGGCTGAGATCAAATGAAGCACGAGGCTTCCTTAGGTGTGGGGTGACTGGAGGCTGTGACTCCTAGGGCCTGGGGCCCAGTGGCCCTCTTCTGAAGCTCTCCCTTCTCTTGATAAACAACAAATCCTGCCACCTCCCTTCACTTGTCTCGGAAGCCATTGTTTCTGGCAGTAGTTCATAGTCTCTGTGTGTATCGTTGCATTTTCCATGCCTCAGATTGCTGCCTTGTAGCCACTTGGCTTTGGACCTACACTTTTAAAGTCATCCTTGTGAAGTGGCTTCCCTCAATTTTACAGAACCCTGAATCTTGTGAGATCTTCCAGAGCCACAGGGTCCCCTCCATGGCTCACGCAGATGTTATTTATACCTGGAAATTCCTTTCTTTCTGTCATTTTCATCCCCAGCTGGGAAGCTGTTCAGATTTCAACTGAAGTGCAGTTATCCATGCTGTTTTCCTTCTGCAATTGTTTGTGATCTCCTTTTGTATTGCAATTTAAGCATGCTTTCTTTAATCTTCATTCTTTATCAGCTGTGTGTTTGTCCCAAATCAGGCAGCTACCAATTTTTATCATTTCCTTTGATAAAGAATTATAATATATTCTCCTTTAGAAGTGGTTTGCTAGCTTCTATTGAAGAGCAAATGGCCAAAGAGGTTCCAATTTCTTTTCAGGAAGTCAACCCAGAGTAACCAAAAGCAAAAACAAACAAAAAAAGTTTTTAAAGAGGTAAATAACTCTCAATTATTTCATGACAATTTTCTCCTTGGTCATTCCCCCTGCTGTTCTTTCCTGAATTAATTTCTTTAACTTACAAATGCTATAGATAAAACTTTTAATTGGCCTCTAAAGTTAGTACTACATTCAGCTTCTCTGTTATTTTCATCATCTTTTGCCTTCTCTCTCAGAGACCCTAAACTCCTTAGGAATCATTTTTTATATATAAGGTTAGATTATTTAATTTTCTATCCACTCAATGTCAGTTTCTACCTGCTTCCTCAACTGTATTTGTAAGCTTTATAGAAGGAATATATAATAAACTTACCCATCTGCTTCATTAATTCTACCAGCTTTGAAAGAATCGTCTGTTAAGTGTGTCCATCAGAGGCATGGAGTGTGTTTGTCCCTTTCCTCAGGAGCTTTATTGAGGTTGAGGCTGTTGGTCTCAATGACACCTGCCTTAGCGGACCCTTGGGGCCCCTACTAGCTGCCTCATTTCTCTGCCTCGGCTCAGTAGATCTTGTAACTATTGAAGTGTACAATAGGACCCTTTACCTGAGAGCCCTCCTTTTTTGACAATGGTTTTGGCAATGATATGGCTGTGTCATCAGAATTGTTGGCTGCTCTGATTCCTTCAAATCCTTATAAGTAGTTAGTGATTATAAAGGATGTCACTTTACTCAGAAATCTCTTGGCTGGAGAATTTACAAGGCTGTTTCTGCATTTCCGTCCAGTTGTGTTCCTTTACATTTCCTTTTCACCTTGTTATCTTTCCTCTTGCTGTACATCTGTTCCTCTGCGAACGTTCAGCCTTCCTTATTTTCACACTGCGTTTCAAGAAGATAGTTCCACTTCAGTAATTTGCAAATTCCCATTTACCTTTTTTTAAGGATTTTTTTTATTGTTTGTTTATTTTTAAAAAGAGGGGAAGAGAGGGAGAGGAACATCAATGTGTGGTTGCCTCTTGTGCACCCTGCACTGGGGATTTGGCCTGCAACCCAGGCGTGTGCCTTTACGGGGAATCGAACCAGCAACCCTTTGGTTCACAGGCCGGCTCTCAATCCACTGAGCCACACCAGACACGGCCCCCCCCCCCTTAACTTCTTATCATATTTCTCTTTATCCTTTGGCCTGGAATGTACATCATCATCTTAGATTTTTTTTCTGATTTAAGAGCCACAGAGAAATAAATGCTACTTCTCTGGGATAATTGTTCGTTATTTGCCATAATCCAGGTAGTCATTCTATGTACAGTGATCTCCCTGCAGCATCCATGTCAAGGATGTGTTTACTTTCTCTTTGCTCTTGGAACAGAGCTTTTTATTATTGGTGATTTTGCTCATCTGACTTAGAAAGCAGCTCCAAACTATGTTGTCTGGACAGTTGTTAATTCTGCTTCCAGGTTTAGCCTGACAGTCTCTGGTTTACCTTCCCAGCAAGTAAACAAATGCTTCCCTTTCTCTTTTAAAGGCCTGAAAGGCCTCAGTGGTGAGCCTTTCATCATTAGGCACAGCTGGAACAGATCTGTCATATTTCAGGATCATGACAGTGTCCTGCTAAATTTCTTGCCCCATTGACCAGGAGCAGAACCTTGTGCGGAAGTTGCATTTACAGAGCTTGGTGTTAAGCATTTTCATGGAAGAGTGATCTGTGCTACCTCCTGTTTTCATTTCCATTTTCTACACTCTTATTCTCTGAATTTCCTCTGACCTCAAGATTTGAAATTTGTTTAGGAACCATCACTTCACAGTTCCACCAACAAGCCCTCTGCCTCCCCTTCAACCCCTGATTCTTCTGGTTTCTGCCTGGGAATTACCATAGTATTTTTTGTGCCTTCTACATGCCAGGCCATACATTCATGCTTCTTGGGACACTGTCTCATTGGATCCGCACCAAACCCACAGGGTGGAGACCACTTCGACTTGCCACTGACAGGGGGATGCTCATAAACATTGTCACGTAGCAGAAGGAGGCAAGACAGTCTCCTAAGTGCTGTGCTTCCTCCCAAAGAAGTTGCAGTTGATAACTATTTCTACACATTTTGGTTATTTAAAACCTGATCTTTAAAAAAAAAAAAAATTACCTTGGTTTCGAGGTACAAAGAAAACTTGAAATGCTCTCAGCCCTAGATTGAATCCTCCAAGCACAAGAGGTATGCTGATCTGGGCCCTTCTACCCCTCAGGGTACACACTGGTCCTGCAGTGACCCTTGCATTCCCTGAGAGCCCCAAGGTGACCCCAGTGACTTCTGGGGGGGTTGTTCACGTTCTGCACAGACAAGATGAGCTTCTGCACAGCTCAGGGCCTCTCACTTTGGCTCCTTTCCCATCAGGAGGAAGGAGACATAAAAGCTGTTTTTTAATGTTACAAGGTAAAACATATAGATGAGTTACAAGCTGTAGGTAAGATAGCAACCTTGGTACTTCATTTGTGAGATGAACCTATTTCTGATGTTTGTGTATTTCCGACTTACGATTTTATGTTCCAAGTCTTAAAAAAATATAAAAGCGAAATCATTTGATGGGTGTCTGACAATCAATCTGAGGAAGTGACAGGCTCGCCCTGACACTGGGGCCAGTTCTGTAGCTTCTGGCTTTGGAACTGGGTTATTGTGGGGAGTGGCTCAAGGTGTCACTGATGCTGGTTCCTGAACACAAAGTAGTGATGTTTGAAGGGAGCTGCCTGATGTCATTTAAGAGCTAGGTGTTTGTGTTTGAAAGTAATAAGCCACAGTTCTGTGGCCATTTGCCCATAAGGAAGCTCTCATTTCCTGGAGATGTTAGATGAAGTTGTTATTCATGTGACAAATTGTCTCCCAAGCACCTCCTATGCATTGGACCATTCCATGAACTGGGGATGCAGCACCATGAGGTGGCACATCATAAGGCTTTATCTAACTAACATACCCCATGTGGGGGTGTTTAGAGTGGTCACAGCACATGCATAAAAGAATGGAAGCAGGTTGTGACCCAGGGAACAGATGCTAAGGGCTACTAGGATCAAGCTCCTCCATGTGGGTCCACATCTCCAATCCTGTCCTCGTGTGTGGCCTCTGCATTCTCTTTATCCACACTGTACTCTTGCTAGATGGCTCCCCTTCTGCATGTAGACCTTGCCTGAGGTAGGTCTTGCACTTGGAGATTGAGTTGTGGGACCCTGAATATTGGGGCTGGGTCAGATCTCAGCATGTCCCTAGCCCAGCTCTTCAGTTACACAGTTTCCTCCACAGCATCCCATTCCTTCTCCCAGTTTGTGGCCTTCAGGAGCTTTTCTTGCTTGGACTGCCCTTCCCCATGGGGAGGAGTGGCCTCTGTTGAAACTTCTGTGTTTACCACTTTTGTGACATCACATAAACGTGGCTGGAGCTGGGCCTGTCCCCACTGTCTCCAGCCTCCAGCTGAGGAACCTCGCCTCTGAGGCTGCGCTCCTGGCAGCCTCTGACCCTGCTGCAGTGCGGCTTTGGGAGGGGATACTCCGGCTAGCTGCAGAGTGCCTTTTGCGTGGGCTTTGCAAGTATGCATGTGCACACATGTATGTTGTATGTGCACCCACACATGTTTATGTGCATGTACATGAAAGTGAAAGAGGCAGGAGCTCAGTGGCAGTACAAGCACCCCCCCCCCCTTCTTCTCCCACAGCTCCCGCTCCTGGTCCACCTGCGTCTTTCAGGCAGCTGGGTTTGGATGCAGTTCCAAGTCTTTCCCGGCCTCTTTTGTGACTTCCTCCTCCACCTCTCACTCTTGCCCCAAAGGCATCTCCAGCCCCCAAGTTACTCCCAGGCTTCACTGGCCCCTCATCCTGTGCACCTTCCCAGCCAGCAGTCCATTAGACCTTCAGCCTCTGGCTTTCCTTCTTCCTCCCTCTGCATTCTCTTTGCTGCATCTAGGGTACTCTTTGTTGAGGGTGGGGGAATACCTTTTTTTTTTCTTTTGCAAATACATTGGACAATCATGCTGCCAGCATTGAATGCAATTCTGGGCCAAAATATCTACATACTCATTTGCTAACTGGTCCTGTGATGGCAAAACCTTTCATCTCACCTTTATTGTTTACTATGACTCATGCATTATCTTTAAGATAAAGAAACACACCATCTTCTCTCTGGTATGACTTTTGTTGTTCAATCACCACCACTGGATATACCTTCCTTCTGAGCTCTGGTTTGCCTTTTTTGACTGTGGCCATCACCCTGTAACCCACACCAGCAGCAGGAAATCGATTCAGTTGTCCTTTTATCCCCGTCACAGAAATAATATACAAGTTTTTGGCTCCTGTATTAGCACAGTTGACCGCAGTTCTTCCTACTGGAAAACCTAGGGAATCTAGAATTTCTCACTGTAGGACCCACCATGTCCTCACTTCAACATCTTAAATGCTGGAAAGCTGGGATACTCTTAAAACTCAGATCTCATTGGGTGCTTTTTTATTTTTATTTTTCGGACTGTATTTATTTATTTTTAAAGGGAGGGGAAGGAAAATAAACATCAGTGTGTGGTTGCCTCTCACACACCCCCAACTAGGGGCCTGGTCCACAACCCAGGCATGTGCCCTGACTGGGAATTGAACCAGCATCCCTTTGGTTTGCAGACTGGCACTCAGCCCACTGAGCCACACCGGCCAGGGCAGTTGCTTTTGTTCTACGCTTCTGATTGGGTCAGGCTCTATGGGTGTCATCAGGGCATTCTGACCCACAGTCACCACTGCCAGTGAGTGGCACATATATCTACCAGCCTTATCTTCCTGGCTTTTTCTGCCTTTTTACAGGCTCTTCTCTGTGAAGAGCACCTCCCAGTCCCCCTTTGCCTGGGAACACACACACCCCAGCCCCAGAAATGCACCTCCCCCACCTTGTGCTGTTCTCCCACAGAGCGCGGCAAGTGATAGTCTTCTGTTCGGCTCCAGATCTGCCTTCCAAAGCCCACCAGTACTCTCAGAACATTTCTGGAACAAGTGTCAGGTGAATCCTTGAGTCCTGGATGGTCTGACAGACTGTAGTCAGTGTGATGGACTCTCCTGGCATCTTATCACCTCCTGTTGGAATATGGAACTCAAGGGCACAGCAGTCCCCAAGTGGGAACATGTCATCGTCTGAACCACATCCTGCATGTGTGCCAGCAGAGGGAACACAAGCTCAGATCTCAGAATCATCTTTGACACCTCTTGGCCTGGTTCTGCCCACGCAAGTCCTTCCTGGAGCTCTCGTTCCTCCGCTCTGAGGCTAACTTTGCTCATTTCCAGGCATCTTTTAAATACCACTTCTCAAGGAAGGACTGATACCCCCTGATCCACGCTCCAATTGTAATTGATTACCTATGTCATGATTTGCTGTCAGGATACTACAGTGAGTGGCACATGAGGGCCCCTCTGAACGCTTTCCCCTTCTGAAGCATTGTGGCCTTAGTGGGAGAGGCTCTGACCTGAACTCAGGAACCTGGTAGGACAGGAAGAACCTGTCAGTAAGGAAGCAAATGCTTCTTCCCTCTTTCCTAGGCACGTTGTGGTTGCTGAATTAGTGGGGAAATGAGCCCGTAGGCCATCTTCCCACTTACCTGAACACCTGTGGTCTTTGTGACAGGACAATCTGTGTAAACTCCAAAGCAGAGCTTGTGAGCGTGTGCCAGGCATTTAGCTGAGAATTAATATTTTTTTCTTTCTTTTTCAGTGGTTGATATCACAGCAAGTATCCTTTTCTTGATGCTGTTCCCTTTAAGAAATGCTCTCTTTAAATAAAAAGAATGTGTTATAGACTTGAATTCCTGCTATGAGGCACCCTGCGGGTTTAGGTCTTGCCCCACAGACCACCTGAAGAATCCCTGCTCAGCCGTGGCTGCCCCCTCAGACCAGCGGCCTCTCCGTGGGCGCCATGCTCCTCTTCAAGCCCTGGCATCCAGCTCCACATCTGGCTAGCAGCAAGCTCAGGGATTGCTGGGGGAATGCATGAACTTGGGGGTTGAGAGCAGGTGGGGGTGCACCTGACTGGCAAACTGCTACAGCGTAAGAACCCCACGCTTCCTTTTAACTGACCTTTTAGCAACACCTGTACTTCCTTAACCAGATGTCACTAGATTCCACAGTTTGAAGATGTTAAATTCGAAGCAGCAAGTCTTTTGTCTGAATTATACTGTCAAGAGGTAAGAACCTATGGTTTCTGAAAGCAGAGTTCCTCTCCCTGTAGTTAAGGCACAATGGCAAATTGGTGCTCTCAGGAGTGGACTGACTGCCTCCTGGCTTTTAATGCTTCCCATTACTTTCCTTCCTTGCGTACCCTGGCGTGGGGCGGCTCTGGTTGATCACTTGCTCATGAGGGCTAACAGAATATTTTTCTAAGACTTTTCCAGACACTTGGAAAACAGCCTTGTTCTTAGGCCAAAGATGATTAGTTCCTGAATGAGTCCATTAGTTTATCTTCTTAACCTGATTCCTGATCTCAGGTATAGCTGAAGATTGCCTTTCCCCTCTTTGAGCCACAGCCTGTGAGGCTTCCTGGGCAGCAGGGAGTGCACACTTCACAGCACTGGCCTGTCTTGTAGAATGAGAAAGATGACACTTGTCATCTAATTTGACTATTTAGGATTTTGAACTAAAGCTATTTATAGTTTAGTTGATTGAGTTATTTTTAAGAGCAATGCAAAAACCTCCCAGTCAGTGAGTCCAACAAAATATCTTTTCTTCTTTTAATAAAGTAAGTCAGCAACCACAAATCCTTTGGTGAGCGTGAACGGGAGTGGCCTTCTGGCACCCCAGCTGCTGCGTAAGGAATCCAGCTTGCCCGCCAGCTTGTTTCCTTTCCTCCCTAAAGGCGACTGTTTCCTTTCAGAATTCTGTCGATGCAGCAAAGCCACTGCTGCGGAAAGCGATCCAGATCTCACAGCAGACCCCCTACTGGCACTGCCGCCTGCTCTTCCAGCTTGCTGTGAGTAGTGTGGGCCTGGCCGAGACATGTGGCTGCTGAACAGGGTCATGACCTTGGGGCACACCTACCTACCTACAAATAAAGGCAGACTCCAAACACACAGGCCCCCCTCAGGCTGCTGCACCAAGATGATGGGGACACAGGGATGATTCTTTAGCCTGCTCAAAGGTCCCCTCCAGCCTCCAACCTGAGCAGTAGCCCCAGCACAGATCTCTCATTCAGCATCAGGGTTGATTGGTGGGACCTGTCTCCCCAGAGGCCGACTCGGGCCTTGTCATTGCATTCCACTCCCTCCTGGTTCTTCCTATGGCCTGTGTTCATTTAAATTTGGGAAGCTTTTCTTGCCAGAAGCCCACCGTGTTTTTTAAGTGCTGTACTGAGATTCCATTCAGCAGTGAATGCCTGTCCGAGTCAAGCCCTTGCAGGGCTCCTGGGACACAGCATCATCTGGGCTTCGCGTAGTCCCCCCCAATAATCTCCCTTCAACTCCCCACACATAGTGGTGCCCTGGTCGCAGCGCTCTGAGATGCTCAGGTAGATGGGGCTCTCTGGACCTGGCCTTCCTGGCTATAGTGACTGGGCCTGAAGGCTCTGGGGTAGGTTGGCTCCACTCAGAGGTGCCTTTTCTGTCCCGGGCACTGCCCACATTTCCCCTCTCACTGCCAGCCTCCACCCTCCTCTCCCTGACCCAGCCTGCCCTCTATACTGCCTCTTGTCTACCTTTCATGACACAGTCCTGTCACCTGTCTATGTGTGCAAGGTGTGGGCCCTTGGTTGGAATTAGTCCTCCACCCCACCGTGAGAACCCCTCACCCCAAAAGGATGTGGCTCAGGGGTCCCTGCTAGGAAGAGCTCACCCGGCCCGTGTTCCCGAGCTCTTCCCCCTGGCCTACTGCTGTCCCACACAGCACTGTCTCCTTTAATCCTCCTATGAGTGTTTTGCCCATTAGCAGATAAGGAGTGGGCCAGGCAATGAGGAACCTGCCTCAGGTCACAGAGTTGGAGAGTGCTGCATGCACCTCAGAACCCAAGCTCAACTGAGGCCCCACAGTGTCCCTTTTAGCCTGCTTAAGCTCCTGGGTTTGAAACTCTTGCAGACACTTACCCCTGCAGGAGTGTCTCCTTGTTTGGGCCACCTCTGGGGATCCGTCCCTGAAGGTGACATGCAAAGTGCAGAGACACACTTGTGCAGCCCTGGGAGTCTGTTCCCCTGAGTGTTAACTGCTGGCTTCATGCTCCATTAAATTTAGATGATGTACACCATTGACAGAACAGAGTTCTGTACCCAAAGCAGTCAGCACCAATGACATGATTTAGTTAATTTAGCTCAAAACTGACACTGAGGCAATTTTGTTGACAGGTGGGGAGGGTCACTTTAACTCTGCAACCAAGCATGAAGGTCAGGTACTAAGTACTATAAAGCGAGAGATTTGGAAGCAAAGATTATTGTTCTCTGTCCTTTTTAGCAACTGCACACGCTTGAGAAAGATCTGGTGTCGGCCTGTGACCTCCTAGGCGTGGGAGCCGAGTATGCACGGGTGGTGGGATCCGAGTACACACGGTAGGCACCCTTTCCCCACGTTCCTCCCCTCTTGCTTGGAAAGGGCTTGGCTGATTGATCCTGGGTAACAAATCCAATTGGCATTTCAGCATGAAACAGTCACCTTGCACACATCATAAGAGACGTACAGATTAAAACACTACCAGGATGCCTTCTACCCCGTCAGTTCATCCTATCAGTTCATGAAGTTGGAGAGTTGACTGTGAGAGTGAGTGACAGCTGGCATTCTCAGCACAATTGGCATTTGTACATACCTAGTATCTTTTTTCTTTTTCTTTTTCTTTTTTTTTTAATTCTCACCCAAGGGTTTGTTCCATTGATTTTTGAGAGAGAGGAAAGGGGGAGAGAGAGAGAGAAATGTGAGAGAGAAACATTGATCAGTTGCCTCCCTTACACGCCCCAACCAGGGCTCGAACCCACAACCTAAGTATGTGCCCTGACCGGAAATCAAACCTGCAACCTTTTGGTGTACAGGACAATGTTCCAACCAACTTAGCCACTCAGCCAGGGCCATACCTAGTATCTTGAAATAAAAAGTGCTTGTAAATTTTCTGGGCTGACCCTCTTTGTGGTACAGATGTGAGAGCAGTGCCCAGTGTGTTTGGCAGCACTTAAGGTAACTCCAGTGTCCCTCTCAGGATGCCCAGGAGCATCAAATATACACAACAACAGACACAGCAGAATAAGCAAATGTTTGTATAAAAGAAGAAACATAAGTTCATGTTATACATGACACTGCCTAGGGTATCTGGAGACTCGTACCTTCGGGTTGTGGGTCAGGGGTCAGAGGCCTCAGGAGCTTCACTGTGTAACCTCTGTAAAGACCTCTTTTTTTTCCCCCAGAAGAGAAGAAACCTCTGCACTAGACAGACTTCAGGCAGCAGTGCTCATGTTCTGTTGTGTGCATTGAGGTTCTAGAAAGTTTTATTTAATGGAGCTGAGCTTGCCTCATCGAGTTGCTGAGACAAAATGGTCCCCAACTCTGTTCTCTGAGCTCTAGATTTGTAAGTGCCCATGTGGAGACATACAGCTTTCCATAGTCTGTCCTTATCCCTCAACAACCATGCCCTGAGATGGCACCTGTCACACAATCCGACCTCACATTCCTGGCCCTTCCTGGCCCCTTTATGTTGCAGCCATCACTGGGTCCATGTGGACACACTTCTCAGGGCACAGGGACAGCCATACACTGTGCATGTTCACACATGAGTGTCCCCAGATAGGCTTCCAGGGCACTGTGGGTGGGCAGCTCAGATGGGCTCCACCAGGGCACAGGGCCCATAACTTCCAACCATTGATGTAGGGCCTCTGAGCAAGTGCTTCCTATGTGCCAACATGGGAATGCTGATGTAAAGTTCGAAGCCTTAGGTTTCAGCGGTTGAATGGCAGGCAGATAGACCTAGAGTGTTCACACTGTGAGGTAACAAAAGGGAAGGGCTTGGAGGCCTGGAGCAGAGACATCTCGCAGGCTGTGTGACTGTGACCTCCCCACCTTAGTCTCGTCACCTGTAAAATAGGGAGAACAGCACCCACTTGATGGAGTGTTGGCCACAGCACAGAGGGACTCTGCCAAGGCTGGTGGGACAGAGACTAAGATGTAGAATAAACTAGGGCCTGTGGACTCTGCCTAACCACAGCTGTTCCTGAAGGCAGTAACTGCCTCCCTGGCTTCCTCCCCCATGGTTTTGGCTGCTTCCTAACCTTTTTAACATGTTCATTTTACTGTTTTTGTTGGTGATGACAGCAGCACACACACATTTAGAAAGTACCAAAAGGTTTAAGAGAGACAATAGAAATTTAGCCTTGCTGACTATTGCAGGTGGAGACGGTGGGTGGCGAGGTTGCTGACGTGTCCGGGGCTCCCCAAGTTCTTCCCTTTAACACTCAGGAGAACCTGAGGGGGCTTGACCAGTCACAGGTGAGGAAGAAGAGGTACATAGGGGCCACAGGGAGGCATGGATTTGGGTTCAGACGCCCAGAGCAGCACACTCTCCCCACATCCTATGCTGTCCACCAAAGTTGTGTCAGCAAGAGTGGGAATATAGTAAGCATGCTGTCCTGGACTCTGCCCTTCCCTGTTTTTTGACCATCTGTCTATCTTTTGGGCTTTTGAGCCACATGAGTGTCTAAATTAGGCCGAAAACATAAAGAAGGATCAAATAGAACAAAGTAGAGCAGCCTTGTAAATAAAACCAGCCTCATCGGAGGCAGCTGGAGTCCACTGTCCTCTGCTTAACCACCTCCCAAGGTTGCTTGTTGGTCCTTGTGAACGTTGGGCCTTGCTCAGGAGACAACTGAACCTTGCAGACTGACTTCCCCTCTCTGTTTTTTAGGGCGCTGTTCCTGCTCAGCAAAGGGATGGTAAGTTGAGGCTGAGCAGAATGGTGCTGTTGCGGTGGACATGAGGCAGGGCTCCTCACTGTGGTGCAGCCCTTCGGGCACCCAGACCCTTAAACACTGCAGCAGCTACAAGAGTGAGGCCCCCGTGCTCCAGCTGGTTTCAGAGGTGAAACTCAGATCCAGGTTGTGCCATTTGTGCTGAGGAAGGAGCAGCCTGGACTAGGGTTCCAGCCCGGCCTTTCACCCTCCCTGCATGGTTCCACCAGTCCCCTGGTGGGTGGGCAAGCAGATGGTGGCCCCGTGCACTGGGAGGGGCTCTCAGTGCCTGTGCCTCTCCCTCCCCAGCTGTTGCTGATGGAGCGCAAGTTACAGGAAGTCCACCCACTGCTGACCCTCTGTGGACAGATTGTCGAGAACTGGCAGGGAAACCCTATCCAGAAGGAGTCTTTACGCGTCTTTTTCCTGGTGCTCCAGGTGACACACTACCTGGATGCAGGGCAGGTACGTAGTGCCTCCCACAGTTGGGCTGTGGGGGAGCAGACAGGCAGTAGGGGGGCCTGAGACTGAGATACCCACTCTCTTGTTGCCTCCTGTCCCTCACCACAAAGTGCATCTCATTGAGGGCTTAGCTCCTCCACATACCCTGTCGTGCCCTGGCATGAGTGCTGTGTCCTTGAGGGCAGAGGGTGCTCTGAGAGTGGCCTGCCCTCATGGTGGGAGTAGTCATGGCCTCACACATTTCCATGGTAATAAACCATGAGGATTCTGGCAAGGTGCCTGACACACAGCAGGTACTCAAGCAGTGCCTCTCCACCACTCCGGTCTCGTGAGAGCGTTACGGGGTTCTAGTAGGGACTAATGACATCAGCTGTGTCCAAGACTTGACTTCATAATCCCCATGTAGTTGAGGAGAGGCTGTACTCCCTGTGGGTGGATGTCTCATCCATCTCACCGCACCCCATCCCAGTGACTGCCCACAGGCCCGGCTTGAGCTGGCAGGAGGCCACAGGTGGAGCCCCAGAAAGTGCTGGGCAGGCCTCTCTTTGGTAAGGGACTGCCTCAGTTCCCCCACTTGTGCGCACATTTGCCTTTTGGACCAATTGCTGTGCTCAATGCATAGGAACACAGCAGATACGTGGGGTGCTCTGGACATGTCCTGTGGGACCTTGGGACAGGGCTTTCTAGTGTGCAGAGGCCAATTTGTACAAGGCACAGCACCTGTAGAGCTCCTGGGTCCAGGAGGCCACTTCCTGCCCCCAAGTATGACTGCTGGCTTCCCCAGCCCTATCTTGCCCTCTCAGGATCACTGCAGGAAGGTGGAAACGTAGATCACGCAGTTTCTTGGACAGACCTCTCCCTGTTCTTGGTGTCGGGCTCTGCTCTGGGTGGTGGCTAGGCCTCAGTCCCACAGATGATCCCCGTCACCCCAGCCCTGAGAACCTTTTGACCCATTTGAGGGCAGGCTTTCTGTAGGTGGTGGGTGTGGCAGGAGCTCCTGGGAAGAAGAAGCTGGTGAGTTAGAGCTTTTTGAGATCGGACAGGGGCTCAGGTTTGTGGTGCTGCCCTCCTGCTGTAGGTGAAGAGTGTGAAGCCATGCCTGAAGCAGCTGCAGCAGTGCATTCAGACCATCTCCACATTGCATGACGATGAGATCTTGCCCAGCAACCCTGCTGACCTCTTCCACTGGCTGCCCAAGGAACACATGTGTGTTCTTGTCTACCTGGTAAGTCTCCAGGGCTGAAGCTGGGGGCCAGGTGGGTGAGGAAAGGGCCCTACTGACCACCACCATCTGGTCTTGTTGCCAGGTGACTGTGATGCACTCCATGCAGGCTGGCTACCTGGAGAAGGCACAGAAGTACACAGACAAGGCACTCATGCAGCTGGAGAAACTCAAGAGTAAGTCGGGCTGGGTGGGTCGCATGGTCACCCCTTGGTGGGTGGCCTGGCCACTGCCTCGGGCTGAGTCTGAAGGACCACAGTGCCAAACAGTCCTCATGAGTCCCTGCCTGTGGGTCTTGTTACCTCAGTTGGCAAATTAGAGTGACCTGGGGTCAGGGCAGAGGAGGCCAGGCCTGAGCTTGACCTTTGATCCCTGGCTAGGGGTCTTGTGCCATCTCTGTCCTGTCTACACACTACAAAGACAGCTGCAATAGTTAGCCAGATCCCACCTGGGCCTGCTGAGATAACAGTGCTCTGTTGAAATGGGGTGGCTTCTGTTATCAGTGTTGTGACATGGATTGTGCTCAGTGTGAGGCTGGGATCTGAATTTGACTCTTGCTAACTGGCAGCAGATGCCCTGTAGGTTGTGAGTTCTTCCTGGACACTGACTGATCTATCCTTTGGGACCAGGGATCTTTGACTACCAGGGACTGAGAGCTCTGGTTCAGTATCCCCATTAACCTGCTCACCCAGTCCATGTACCCTTTGTCAGTTCTTCTAGGGGACGAGCCATCGTCCAGAGAACCAAAGCCCTTGGGGATCACAGTTCATTCCTCCCCGCCATGTTGAGAAAGGTCTGCACTATCTAGTTCCAACATGAGGGCAGCCTCTTAGGGCAGCCAGGAACCTGGTCTTTCTACTACTGCCTGAGGCTGTCACAGGGTCTCATTCTCCTGGGCAGCATTAACATTTCTAGAACCCAAGGTGTCTGGAGTGTTCTTGAGCACATGACTGGGTTGTGGTGGTTGAGGATGGAAAATAAGTCCCACCAGGGATTTCTTACTCTTAAAACAGTGTGGTCACCAGAACTTGTTATGAGCCTGTCTCCCCACTTGAACAGGGAGATGAATCCCTCACTCGAGGATATAGTGGGTATGAGCGAAGTGACAGGCTGGGTCCTGGCCTGGTGTCCCGCAGAGAAAGTAGGCTTAGTGGACCAGAGCAAGGTCCAGCCAACAGGTCCATGTGGTAGGAGGCTGGACCAGGGGTCAGTGTCTCTTCGGCTCTTTCAGCTGAACCTCAAGTGCTCATTCCCCTCTCACCTCCAGTGCTCGACTGTAGCCCCATCCTGTCCTCCTTCCAAGTGATCCTGCTTGAACACATCATTATGTGCCGGCTCGTCACAGGACACAAGGCCACCGCACTACAGGAGGTGAGGCCTCTCGGGGTCCTGCACACACAGTGCCGGAGAACCAGGGAGCAGGTGGTTGGACTTTTCCAGGTCTCAGAAGCCACTATGTAGGAGAATGTAAATTTGCCCAGTCAGCAGGACATTCACCCATGTCATTCAGCTATTACTGGTGACCGTGCTTGAGCACAGTTGATCAGGCAATCTGGTACAGAAATCAACAGGCTTTTCCCTAAAAGCTCTCATGCCCAAAAAATATGGAACCTAGAGTTTGGGATCCCCTGGCAGCGATCCCCTCCCTGCCCCATATAACCCCTGCTGCCCATCTTCCTGAGAAGGCAGGGGGCCTTAGGCAGGGCAAGGGTGCTGATGGATGAGACATGTTGAAAAGGGAGAAGGCAGGTCATAGACAAGGATCACTGTCCTCAAGGAGGTCAGGGCTGCCCCTTGCTCACACAGTGGGCATATCCACCAGAACTTTATACCCAAATTCAGGCAGGCAGGGTGTTGACAGCGGGTCCCAGGTTACAGGTCCCATGACATTGGACATGTTCTCCCGGCAGATTTCCCAGGTCTGCCAACTGTGCCAGCAGTCACCCCGGCTCTTCTCCAACCACGCAGCACAGCTGCACACACTGCTGGTAAGTATACAGGGCTGCCCTCCCCAGCCCCGTTCCAGTGAGTAACCCCACGACTGTCACCCTAGGCAGCATCTGGAATATTCCTAGTGGACTTCATTCTGATAGGCACCTCGAGTCCAAGTTGACTTAGGTCCTGGAAGGAGAGAATAACTCCACTCCACATGCCATCTTTCTGCCTTCTCGCCAGGGCAAAAGCTCAGGTATAGCTGGCGCACAGAGTTACTGGTCAGGCTCATCCAGGTTTAGCCACGAGGCCCTGTGCAAGTGGCAGGTCCACAAGCCTTCAGCACTTCCTTCTTCCAGGGCCTGTACTGTGTCTCCGTCAACTGCATGGACAACGCAGAAGCCCAGTTCACCACAGCCCTGCGGGTAAGGTGCCGGCCCTCACTGCATGGGGCGGGCAGTGCTTCTTAGTAAGGAGTCAGACATGGGCTGTGATGAGGATGACAGCCACACGAATCTGTGGTCAGTGGTCGACCCTGCAGCATTCAGCCTGATGGTAGCTGTGACAGTGATACAGTTTATCCAGTGGTTCCTGTGTCAGGTCCTGTGCTTCTCAGATGAGGACAAGGCCAGTTCTGGCAGCACAGCCTGACAGGGGGTAGCTGTGGACAAGGAGGCTCCTGGTCAGCCTAGAATGGGTCTTCCCATGCCGAACCCAAGGGCAGCCATGAGGGAGAACCAGCACCCACTGGTGCCACAGCCTGTTCGGTTGCTTTCACTCCTGATTTCCAGCCCTCCCAAAAGCCCACCAGCCTGGTGATGGTCTGTGTCATAGCTGAAGACACAGTCAGGAGGGGTCAGAAGCTCCCAGAGCTATCCTGTGGCATAGCTGGGACATAAAGCTGAGTGTGCCCTGATCCTGTACCAGCCCATGACCTGGTTGCTCTGGGGCAGAGGCCACCTGGAGCTGCCAGATTAGGAGGAAGTTCCGCTGGGGCCATATCCTGCCCTCAGATGTAGCTGGTGCCACATCGTTGTGGAGTCAACAGGCTCAGGAGTGAAAAGCCCAGCTCTGCCCACCTTGCTCCAGGACCAGATAAGCACAGCCTCACCTCGGCCCCGACATGCTCCCAGGAGAAGGAGGCCAGCAGAACCTTCCTCCTGGTGGTCCTGGGGAGGCCCCACAAAGACATGTTGGGGCGTGGGAGTGGTTCTGTGATTCAGGTGAGGTCACCGTGGGTATTCTGTTATACAGGGTGCTCCGCTCTGCCCCTTGTGTCATTCTCCAGAACTCTTCATTCCCAAGGTTGGGCTCAGGTGGTGTAACTGTTCCTGAAAGGTGCTCTGCATGGCTGTGGGTACAGGCAGCAGCCTAGAACATGAAGAGCAAACACAGTGTCCACTCCTATGGCCTTCCATGGCCCCTCTGTGCCCCAGTTGGCTCAGGCTGCCAGAACCCTGCCCCACGCTGACTGCCATTACCATAGGGCCTATAAGGGTCTCTTGGCCCCTTCCTCTTCATCTCATTTCCCACAAGTGGCTGCTGCTGCTCTGATTGCGCATCCCAGCAAATCCCTCATTAGCTGAAAGGGAATAGCAGGGAACTGGTACAGCCAGAACTTGGACCCAATCCCCTTGGCCCCAAACAAGATCTCTTCCTGTGATCGTACAACAAACTAACCAGAGTATGTTTTGCTGCATCAGAAGACCTTTTGGACCTCCTTTTATTGGGGTCTGCACTTCCCCAGTGTCCTCAGCCTTTTGCACAGCAGTGCTTGCTCAGCCCCACTAGGAACCAAGATCTGGGTGATGACTTGGGTGGCTCAGATGAGTCTCTTTCTCCTGGCCATTCTCAGTTCCCAAGAACAGGGGACAGTGGTCTATCCACCACTGGCCATCGGTAGCATCTTTGCCCTCCTTCCTGGCTGGGGTCTCCCCAAGACCAGCATGTGCCTCTGCCATATGAGCACTCACAGGGTCTTAGGGTCACCGTGGTGTGGAGGGAGTGGCTTCCCAGGCCTCAGTCCTGAGAAAGAAGCAGAAGATAGACCACAATGTAGTGTGTTCTTAGGATAGGAACAGGGTGACTGGGTTCCTAAATTTCTCACAACACAGATAATGGTTTTATAGCAAAAAAACCCTAACAGCTGTACTGGAGGGGTCAGATTGGGTTTAGGAGACAGGTTGTGTCGGGTGTACGTGAAACAAAGGAAATAGGAGACTCCTCAGCCAAGAGAGAGCGTTTGGGTGGCTTTCATGCCATGAATGGCCCCTAACATCCCTTGTCCCCATTTTAGCTTACCAACCACCAGGAGCTGTGGGCCTTCATCGTGACCAACCTGGCGAGTGTGTATATACGGGAAGGAAATAGACACCAAGAGGTAGTAGGTGACATGCTTCATGTTTGGTATCCTTTCTTTCAACTTTTATTCAGGGGCTAGGGCGGGGGGTGTCCTGGGTACCAGCCATCTCAGCAGTCCCAGCTTATCTGTCCTCAGCATGGATAGGGGCAGCCTCATCGGGACATAAATGTTCCTTGGCCAAGTAACACTTCTTCCTGTTGAAAACAAACCGAGCTTTGTCAAATCTCCCAGAGCAAATGCAGTTTCTTCTACCCTGAGCTGTCTGTTGTAGAATGACAGTGAGGCCTGTGGCTCGCTTCTGAGAAACAGCAGCTTGGGCAGTCATTTGCACTGGGCCACTGGTTGTCCTGATGCCCTGAACATGGATCGTGGGGTGAAGGGTACAGGGTTTGTCCTCAAAGGACAAGTGCCCTCATACCAGGTTCCCCTGCTACCCCCTCAGCCCTGAGATCCCCAAACCCTGGTATTCATATTCCAGAGTGTATCAGACTCAGCCACTTCTTTCCACCCCATAGCCTTCATTTTAGTTCAGACTGCTATCATCTCTTGTCTGCAAATAGTTCAGCTGACCTCCCAGATTCTGGATTGGTTGAGACGCTTTGTGTTACAGGCAGCAGAGAGTCCAGCCTCAGCCTCTCGGCGGTCAGGAAGCAGCAGGGCAGTCATCTGGGGGCCAGGTGTGGGCTCCATGGGTGATGCTTGGTGGGTCATGGGGAGCTTGGCTCCCCTATGTCTTTGCTCCCACCACTGTTCTGCCTCCTGGAGGGGCCTTAGGAGAACTCGGAGACACCTCATCCCCAATCCAATCTCCAGAAAACAGCCTGAGAAGACCTAAAATGTTAGCCATGGCGTTCCCTGTCAGAGCCTCTTGAGTCCCTTCCTGCACCTCCAGATAAAACCTACTCCGCCTCCAGCCCCCAAACCCATGCAGGCTCATCTTGCTCCTCTAGGCCTATCTCTGTGGACCATAAAAAGGCTGGGGCTGGGCAGTTGCCCGTGCACCCTGATGCCCGCCACCTGGCAGAGGCTCTGCAGGATAGGTGGAGGTTGCAAGGACCCTGCACCAGATCCTTCACACTGGAGGCTGTGATCCCCGTGGAGGGGGTATGTGTGAGGAATTAAGCAGCTTATACAGTGTCCTATAGTTCCCTCACCTGCCCTAGAAGATCCTCTTCCCTCTATCAGCAGATTGCCTGGGCATGGGATTCAGGGTGAGGGCTCAACGCCATCAGATGGGAAGTTCAGGCAGCCCTGGTCAATTTACTAGCATATTTGGGGCTGAACTCTCATGTTTAGAAATGCAGAGTGATCACAGCTGACATTTCCTTTGCAGCTATACAGCTTGTTGGAGAGGATCAACCCAGACCACAGCTTCCCTGTCAGGTACGTGCCCCTACGGCGAGGTCCCACTTACTGCCTGTCTTATGTATTCTCTGCTCTCTGGGGTGGTGGCAGCACCTGTGGGACCCCTGACTGCCCTGTTACCCCAACACTTGCACCACCACCACCCACATTTCTTTTGTAAGCCTGCTACATTTACAAAAACCCCATCAAGTTGTGACCCTTTGCTCTCTCCCCAGCTCTCACTGCCTTCGAGCAGCGGCTTTCTACGTGCGCGGACTCTTCTCCTTCTTCCAGGGACGCTATAATGAGGCCAAGTGAGTGCTAGAGAGGGCGGGCAGCCTGGGCTGGCCCTCTGGGTGGCTTTCTCCCCCGACAGTGTGTGTTTAGGCCCTCTGTCCCCCTGCCAGACGGGTCCGCCAATGGCTGTGAGGTGTTCCAATGGGGTCTCAGTCTGTTCTTTTCACGTAGGCGATTTCTGCGAGAAACTCTGAAGATGTCCAATGCAGAAGACTTGAACCGGCTCACAGCCTGCTCTCTGGTGCTTCTGGGCCACATTTTCTACGTGTTGGGGAACCACAGGGTGAGTGCCCAGGGCTGGGCCGAGGGGCAGGGAGCCAGTGTGGTGCTTGGGGGAGCACCACCAAGCAGCACTTTGCATCCTGTGTCCCTCAGTGATCTTGTCTCAGTGGATCCCCCAGCCCTCTCAGCTGCATGAGGCTTGGCAAGGGCAGGAATGCCGTGGCTCACACAGCCTGGGAGACAGAACTGGGGCACTTTGGATCCCTGGAGTGTGGGTCTGTGGGACAGATGGACCTGGCACTTGGTGAGGCTGCCTGGAGCTGGCAGGGGTGAGGCAGGTTACCCTTTGTTCGTGTTAATTCCTGGGGTGGAGAAGTGTCCTCTCAGTCAGAATCCCTTGGGTTCTGTTTGTGCCCAGCACGTATGGTGTCCTCATGTCACCCTTGTTTCCACCCTCACCTAGAGTGGCCCCTGGGGCTGGTCCCGGTGGGATTGGCCTGTTCCGCGTCCCCCCATGAGTTGTGCATCATCACCTCTCAGTCATTGACCTTACATGCCTTTAATTTTTTGAAAGAACACATTGATCTGTATTATAAAATATGACATGTTCATCATAGAGGTTCTGAGAAGCAAAGTTGAAAATCATTGCATGTTCTCTGTCTTCTGGCTCTTACCACCACCCACCCCTGCCCACACATAGGTTTTGTTTTTCAGGATGTTTTATAGTTTTATACTTTGTCTTACCCTACATGACTATATTAGAGGGTTTTTTGTTTTGTTTTCTTAATAAGAGAGAGAGGAAGGGAGGGAGAAAAAGAGAACCATCCATGTGCAAGAGATACATTGGATACATTGATTAGTTGCCTCTCACACACCCCCAACTGAGGACCCAGCCAACAACCCAGGCATGTGCCCTGACTAGGAATCAAACCAGTGACCTTTCAGTTTGCAGGCCAGCACTCAGTCTACTGAGCTACACCAGCCAGGGCTATATTAGAGCTTTTTTTTTTAACGGCAGCAAGAATTTTGAAGTAGCATCTACTCTGTAGTTTAGACAACCTCACTTGAGCTGTTTTCACAGGACAGATGACACAGGTCAGGTGTCTTGGCCTGCAAAGTTTCACCTGACCAAACCCCAGGGCTTCCTAAGAATGTGCTTTTTCGATGAGCCTTGGTAGGTCTCCCTCCCCACAACTGTATGACAAGACCAATGGGCCCTGCTGCTCAGGTCCTGGTGGCCATGGCTGGAGATGTCACCACCCCCAAAGAAAAAAGATGAGCTGTGGGCTCTTCCTTCTGAGTGCAGCTCTGCTCCTCAGCCTCCGAGCACAATGAGGACACTGGCCTCAGTGTGTGTCTGGGCAGCATGAAGCCCCACTGAGTACGAGCTGCATGCCTGCATCTCATTGTGGTGGCTGTGGTTACCCATTTCCATATGGAGAGATTAAGTCGAAGCCCCAGACTGCAGACCCAGGCTTAGAACCAGATCTCCCTGGCTCTCATTTATCTAGAAGTCTTCAGAAGCCACCTTGAGCAGGGCAGGGTGGGCAAGGCAGCTGTTTAGCTGCAGCTCTGGTTCATGTTTAGGGTGAGCCTAGGGCATGTTACTGAGTTTGGGAACCTGTGCTGCTCCCTGTGTGTCAGGGCTTGTGTGGGCTGACATGGGACCCCAAGCACCCTCAGACCCAGGCCTGGCCTTAAGCGATTCCAGGCCTGGGGAAGACACTTTCTGACACAGCCAACTTTATTCTAGCTTGCTAGGCTAGAGTGTCCATGGGTATTGTGAGTTTGTAAACAGCCTCACCCAGGACACCGTAGGATCACACAGATCTTTAAAACCAGACTCTGTGGGACAGTCCCAAGCTGACATGAGAGAGCCTAGAGGGATGCTCTGTCAGGTGGCTTCCAAACAGAGGCCCAGCCATGGGCCTGGAGGAGGAGAAGAGTGGTTTTTCCTGTTCTGTGCATTCTGAGGTTTTTAGAAGGGCTTGGTTCAGTCTTGAAAAGCTTTGAGATCTACTTGGAGCTCATCTTTGAGGTGCCAGTCCAGAGAATGTGAAGTTGTTGGTCTTTTGTGTCTGTAAGGAGGCATACCTGTACACCCGTGGTTGTTGAAACTGGACCTTGAGAGTTGGTTTTGAGGATTTGTAAGTCTCTTGGCTACATGACAATGATCCCCCAAGCCGTTGCATATGGAATTCTCTTAGTGTCACCCTAAATACATCATTCCTACTGTCTGAGATGGCCTCCCACAGGAGTGAGCTCCTTCTCCCTCCTGTGTCTATTCAACCCTCATCACTCCCACTGGGCAGGCTACTGCCTCCTCCCTGGCCCTGGGACCCCAGAATCTGCCTTCCTTATTGGCTCCTGGTCTGGGTCCGAGCCGACTACTGCCAGTACCTTTTTGTCTGGTAAATTTGCCATGGCAGCCGTGCCTCACACAGAGCCAAGGAGTAGAGGCAGTTTCTTTTTCCCTGAGATGGTCAAGGAGTACTTTCATAGAAGAGCATGTGAGATGGCCTCTGAAGTAGGAGTAGGAGTTTGCCAGGCAGCAGGAAGAGGGCATAGTCTGAGCCAGGTATGGCAGGTGGGGCCTTAGCTGTCCCTGCTGCCTCCCCCACGCCCTGGCTGCTCTTCGTCCACAGGAGAGTAACAACATGGTGGTGCCCGCCATGCAGCTGGCCAGCAAGATTCCAGATATGTCGGTGCAGCTGTGGTCGTCAGCCCTGCTGAGAGGTGAGTGCAGCCGCCAGACCTTCCCAGAGATCAGAGATGCTGAGTAAGTCCTGCTTGGCCTTTGCTCAAACTGGCCTCTACAGGCCACAACCCCAGTTCTAGCACATTCTCATGCTTTTGGGAGGCCATCTGAGGGCACCGGGCTCGATCATGATGTCAGCTCAACACACGGTCTGGGCTAGTCTCTCTGGGGCTCATGAGGATGATATTGGCATCTGGGTGAAGACTTGGGCTGTGAGCCCTGGTGCTCAGCCTCGTTCTGTCAGTCAGGAGTGGCTGGGATGCTCTGGGCGCAGGTTGGGTGCTTATCAAGTGGCAGAGCTGTTACTGCTGCTCCCCCATTTACAGAGACTTGCCATGGGCCCTGAGAAGGAGGCAGGGGGCAGGCTGCTCCTGTCTGCAGTGGGCTTTGTGGGCTTGTTCAGTCTTCCTGCCTCAGAAGTGTGTGTTGGGTGCCCTGCTTCAGTGAGCTCCTGTATGCCCAGGGGCCTTTGCTGCCCAACCAGCCTCTGCATCTGCCCCTGTGAGTCCTGCTGCTCACCCATATCCAAGGACATGGCTCAGGAACTCAGGAGGGCACATGTGAGGGCTGCTGGCAGGTAGGCTTGCCTGACCCCGAGATAGGGCTCAAGGCAGGTGACTTGCCAGGTGCACAGGAGCCCACTAGTGGAGCCTAGGTTTGACCTTACGGCTCCATCTACACCCAAGAGAAGGATATGGAGATGGTGGCAAGGCAAGTCAGGCTCACCCCATGTGTGTTTTACCCTCAGACTTGAACAAAGCTTGTGGGAATGCCATAGATGCCCATGAAGCTGCCCAGATGCACCAGAACTTCTCACAACAGCTTCTCCAGGACCACATCGAGGCCTGCAGCCTCCCTGAGCACAACCTTATCACGGTATGGGCACAAGGTCGGGGAGACAGAACATGCTGGTTGGCTCCTCAGGGCTGGCTCACCTGGCCTGTACCCTCCAGGGTGTGGGACACACTTCCTGAGGAGGAAGTACACACTTGGCTGCTATCTTTCTGCATCTCTCCAGCAATCCCTAACTTAGCCTAGTCTCAGGAGCTCCTCAAATGTGGGAAATGGCACCAATCACCCAAGCAGATGATGCAGGGTCCTTCCTGGTGCCAACCCGACTCTGGTATGGAGCACAGAGGTCCCTGGCTGGGTAACCTGCGTAAGGAGGGCAGCATTGCAGGTGCAGACTCTTGGCCCAGTGCACCCTGCCCCTCCCTAGGAAGGACCTCACCTCCATGTTTCTCCTCCCACAGTGGACAGATGGCCCGCCACCCGTGCAGTTTCAAGCTCAGAATGGACCCAATACCAGTCTGGCCAGCCTCCTGTGAGGCCCCTGGAGGGGGCCACCCAGCTTCTCAAGGCCTCCATGGGGCCCAGTGTGTCCCTGACTTCCACCCAGATGGCACTTGTGCTTTCCTCTGAGGAGTACTGGCATGGTGTCCCCAGGCTTCTTTCCCAACTGTCTCCAGAGCTTCCAAGTCCCGGGGGAGTGTGCAGGGCCAATTCCTACCCTCCCAGCAAGGGCTGGGCAGCATTACCACTGTGAACCAGGACCCCGGTGCTGAGGCTTGCAGGTGGAATGTTGGAGCCAACTTTCCAGAGCCATCCTTTAAAGTGGACTTGAACTGCCAGTCCTGCTACACGTCTGAGTCACATCTTCCTGGGACCTTGTCTGGATGGGGAGTGCCAAGGTGGGTGGCACCGCTGGGGCATTGCCACGTGACTTCCATTGCCTGGTCTTCTGTGCCAGGCTGGAGTATTTTCTCTGATCTCACGGCAGCTTCCAGAGCTCAGAGGCAAGACGACAGTTTTGGCCCAAAATTGTAAAGAAGAAGGGATGGCGCACATCAGGGACAAAAATGCACATCCTGCTACAATGCTTCTCTCAGCTTGCCTTTATCTGCAATGTCCATCCTGACAGCTAGGGCCTCTAGTCAGGTGCCCTGGGGGCCCAGGAACTCGCCTTCCAAACATCTGCACCTTGACTAGATCACTGTCTGGCTGTGGGGGTGCACATGCTGTAGACATGGGTTTGCATGTGTGTGCATGGTATAGATGTGTGTGCGTGCATCTGCTGTAGGCACAGGTATGTGTGTGTGCACATGTGGACATGGTGTGCATGTGCATGCATCTGCTATAGACACAGGTGTGCATTGTGTGCGTGCATGTGTGGTGATTGTCAGAGCCAGAGCTGAGACTCCTGTGTTTACACCAGCCACCTTCCCCAGTCAGTGTCTGTATTGTGGGGTAGGAAGCAGGGAAGAGGACCCCAACTCAGGGTGCCAAACAAAGAGGCTGGGACAGCTTGTTGGCCTCCTCTGCAAAGGATGTTGGCAGATGTCTGGAGCTCAGCCAACCCTGCCCTTGGGAGGGAGAAGACCTACCTGCCTTAGGTCTCGAGATAGCATCAGAACCTCTTCCTGAGCTGGACCCCAGGAAGTTCTGCCTGGCCCAGGCAGCGTGCTCAGTTCTGTGCTCCTCTTGGATAGTCTAGAGATGCCCCAGTGGAGATGGTGGGATTGGGGGCAGTCGAGGCAGCCACCACCTCCAGCTCCTCGTGCCTAGGAGTGGCTCCCTGACAAGGAGTGAGGAGTGGTTTTACTGGTCAGCATGGCTTGTTGGTTTGAGTCTCGTTAACCTTGCACTGTGAAGGCTGCTTTTCGAGGCCTCACTGTCTGTGATGGAGGGATCACAGGGATCTGGGATCACATGGCTACTTAGGCCCTGACCTGGGTGTGCCTTAGTCAAAGCAGATTGTCAGCAGATCGCCCGGTGCTGGGCCACTGCCCCCACCAGGGCTGTGGCAGGCCCTGCTGCCCTCTTGGGGGCCAGTGACAACACAAGTGAGCCAGAAGTCAGAGGGACAGGACCCACTGTCCCTATGTCACCTGGGAGAACCTGGCCATGTCTAGAGCTGCCACCTCTGCTGATACCCCTGGTCCCATAAGGCCTGTGGAGGAGGGTATAACCCTAGCCACAAGCTATCCCCATTCAGTCTTCCTCTTCCATCAAGGGTGTCCCCCAGGCCTTCCCCCTCCACCCAAGGGATAGAGCCCCCATCTTGCTATAAGCCGCATCTACCATCCTGAATCTCACACTGACCTCTCCAGACTCACATTACTTCACTCTGCACATTATGTTTGTCTCTGTATTTATTTAAGCCTTTCTTTGCTTCTAGGGCATTTGTATGTAGAGCAGTTGAAATAAGAACCTCAAAACTTAATGTGTGTCCTGATGTTAAAGTGCTTTTAGTGACCAATCTGTTGTATCTATGTATGTGTATGGTTAGGATAAGTTCTTAAGTTTACAATTAAAAATTTAGTACTCGATATTTAATATTCCACTTCAGCTTTATGAAAGCCAAACTGTGTGTACGGTTTTGAACCTTCCCTTTACCGCAGCCTCTACCAATTATATCAAGCTCTCATACATACCTTCCTGTGAGTCCACATTCAGTGCTTCACAATTTCTCACTCAGTCATAAGAATTTAAGATGTAGTAAGCAAGCCAACAGGGAGATGTTGCACATGTGTTCTATAGGTAAGTTTAGAGAAAGCAGATAAAAACTCCAAACTTCAAATTACAGTGCATCAGTAAGTAGCAGGATTCCTGTTGGCAGGTCAATTGCTAAAAGCTGATCAGACCCTCGTGTGCCCTTCCCACTTCTTGTTAGCAGAAGGTCCTGGGCCTGCAGATCTGGGGTGCTGGTCCAGGAGGTGCCCCCAGGTTCCCTCAAAAGCACAGCTGCTTCCTCCTGCAGGTGCCCACAGGCAGGGTGAGGGTCTTCTCCCTGGGGGTAAGCATTCCCTCTTCCACTTACTGGGAGCGCAGGAAAGGAAATTGGGTAAAGGCAGCCTGGCATGATGGATATGCTTGTGGTAACATTGTCTCTATTTTGTTAAAAGGTTTTTAATAAGTACGTTTGGCATAATGTCTTTTAACAGGTTTGTAATATGGTTTCAGCAGCCTGTAATTTCAGCTGGTGCTTTTAATCAGGAAAAACTTATAAATGCAAAACATGGTTTAAAAGACATAACCAGAGAGGATGGCTCCTTGTTTGTGGATTTCTTTTTCTTTGTATTTAAAGTAAAATCACTTGCAGTAGCTATCAGTCGCTATAGTCTTGTCTTGCCTTCTGTCCCTCTCCCATTGCAACCCAGACAAGCTCTTTCCTGCCCCACCCAGCCTGTGGAGCTGCAGGGACTTCAGCTAACCAACCAGGCATGAGGATGCAGAGCCCATACCTGGACTGGTGGACCTGGTGGAAATGGTGGAAATTTGAGTCTTCCTCTCTGTTGATGATGTTCCTCTGGTCCAGCCCTGCTTGGAAGGCAAGGAACCCCTGAAATATCCCATGCAAAGCCTGAAGCACTGCCTGTTCCTCCCTGGCCCTCAACGAGACTTCCTCATACACCTTGGCCAGCCTCCGTGTACCTGGGTTTTTGTGGGCTTTTTGTTTTTTGGGTTTTTTTTCTTTTTCAGATGAAAGACACAAACTTAACCATTTCATGTGTAAAATTCAATGATATTAAATACATTCACAATGTTATACAAACAGTATCTCTTAATAGTTCTAGAACTTTTCCATCACCCCAAAAGAGACCATCCCATTAGCCGTCACTCCCCATTCCCTCTCTCTTACTCATGGCAACCACTAATCAGTTGGCTTTCTGCATGGATTTACCTGTTCTGGACATTTCATGTAAATGGGATCATATAGTATATATAGCCTTTTGTGTCTAGCTTCCCTGACTTAGCATGTTTTCCAGGTTTATCCACGTTGCCATATACCAGTACTTCATTCCTTTTTATGGCTAAGTATTATTCCATCGTGTGGGTGGACATTTTGTTCATCCATCCATCTATGGGTGTTTGGCTGCTTCCCCCTTGTGCGTGTGTGAGCAGTGCTGCTGTGGGTGTGCCGCACATTTTTTTTTTTTTTTTGAACATATGTTTTCAATTCTTTTGGGTTGTGCTGTGGTTTTTATGTGCAGGAATAGTGCTGGGCTGCTGCCCGTGCTGCATCAAAGTCGTTGAGCGGTTCTCATTCCTGTGCCCCAAGATGACGCCCAGGTGGCCTCAATTGCTCGCTCCCGGGGGCACGTCTGAGTACTCCTTTGGGCCATGGTCCTGGCGCCAAAGTGCTGGCCACTGAATGTGTGGGCGATTCACCCCAGCGTGGTGATGCTGCCACCCCCAACTTTGAAGTCGGGCTTCCTCCGCCCCAACCCTGCCAACCTGGGCTCAGGCAGCTTTTTCACTTGGGGTGGACTCTTGCCTGTCAGCTGGATGTCATTTCCTCCACTGTAAGCCTCAACGCCTGTGTCAGACGTGTGTCCTGAGCTTGCTCAACCAGAGCAATGCCACAAGCCCGCAGTGGAATCAGCAGGCTGGTCCTGAGATGGCCATTGTTACGGGAAGTGGTCCTCGATATAAGTCACCTCAGCCATAGCCACCCAAGATGGGCTCCTGGCAGCCTCCCAAGGACCTGAGAATCTCCCCCACACATGGAAGTGAGTGACTTGCCCACAGGAGCCATCCCACTCCTGTTGTCTGTGCAGCTTCAGGAACCCAGCACCTGAGGGGATGTTCCAGTGGAAGCTCTCCTAGCATCCACCTCACATCCCCAAGCAGGCCTCACAGACAACATCACAGAGTCTGTTGCCAGCCAGGGCTGCTGACAAGTGTGACAAGACACAGCCTAGTTCCTCCTTGCTCATGATGTGGAAGAGATACATGTGGGCAAACATATGTGAGGGACACGGAGGAGCCATCAGGTTGAGATGCAAGGAAAGTCCTGAGGCAGGAGATGAAAGGGGATGATGAGAAGGAGCCAGACAGGTGGGTCCCACATGCCAAAAAATCTGCTTGTTGTGGCTAAGGCAGGCAGAGCAGTTGGGCTCAGGTAGGGGCAGCAGGGCAGTGCCCTGGAAGGCCTGGCTGAAGACGCAGAACCTCTTCCAGTTAACCAGCAGTTGCCAGAGAAGTTTCCATAAAACACCAGACATTGGTGAAATGAGGAATAGCTGCTGTGGTCGTAGAGTTTTGAGAACCTCTCTAGTAATTCCAAACAGGTTCCTTCTGGCAGAATTGGTCAGCACAAAGGGACACTGACTGGAGAAATCTTCAGTATCTGCAGGACACATTTGAGAAGTAGACGACAGGTGGTGGCCATGGGGCTGGGGGGAGGACAGAAGTGTGCCTCATAGAGGCCAGTGGGTGGCTAGGGTAGCTGGCCTGAACACCAAATGGTCAGGACAGGGGTCATTGGTGGTGCTTGGCACCGCCCCGCCCCCCCCCCCCACAATCCTCAGAAACCTGCTCATCACCCTACCCATTCCTGGCCATCTCTGCCTACCCCTCCCCTAACCCCAATCATGTCTCCCACCTGGATGTCATCCAGCCTCCTCTTTGAATGGTCTGGGAATGTTCTGTGCTCCCTCTCACCTGTCCCCCTGCCAGGGACACTTTCCCTGTAGCTGCTCAGCATCACTGACATCCTGGCCCAAGCCTGGCACATGGTGAGTGAGTCTGTGGGGCAGCCCAAGGGAAGAGCCCAACTCCAGGCAGCTCCAGCAGATGCCATGTGAACATCTGTCCCAGCTGCTCACAGGCATCAGCACACCCAGTCACTGTAGCTGGGTTCCTGCCCCTCAGAAATACCAACAGGACCCTACTGTCCTGCAGGGGAGCCTGGACCTTACTCATACCTGGAGGCTGATGAGCTCTAGAGGGCCTGGGAATTGAAAATGTCCCTGATAAGTATTGATTTCATTCCTTTGCCTCTTTGAGCTTTGGGTTTACATATCCCTGCAAAGGAAGCTATTCAAGGAGAGTCAGGAAGTCCTGCCTCTGTGGTCCAGTCCATTTAGCACCTGACATCACTTCCTCGATTTGAATCTCACCCAACCTCTTCTCCCAACACAACCCAGTTAGCTCAGAGCTGTGGATGGGACATGGTAGGAGAGGTGCTGCTGGGGTCAGAGGGTGTGGTGTCCACCCCACCTGGAACAAAGGAGTTGGACCCTGAGGGCCACGGAGGCCTCACTCTCTATCCCCACCCACCTACCCCCTCTACCGCCTAAGAGGGGGTCCAGGGGACAGGGAGGGAGAAGATGATTATTGACAAGTTGAAACATTTATTTCATCCCAAATTCATGCTCACATGGTGAGGTTACAGTACAATTAGTTGGAAAAGGAAAAGATTCATTCCTACGTTAATTTGATTTTCTTAGTACTTTGATATCTGTGATACTTTTTTCAAGGACCAGAAAAGAGTTAAAGGGGTTATTACAGTGATGCTTCAGGAAAAATACGATGCTCTCAACACATTACAGCTGCTACAACAAATGTCATTTTAAAAAACATGACATTCGCCCTGGCTGGTGTAGCTCAATGGTTGAGCACCAGCCTGTGAACCAAAGGGTCGCCGGTTAGATTCCCAATGTAGGGCAGATGCCTAGGTTGCAGGCCAGGCCCCCAGTAGGGGGCATGCGAGATGCAACCATGCACTGATGTTTCTCTCCCTCTCTCCCTTCTTTCCCTTCTCTATAAAAGAAAAAATATATTTTAAAAAAAATGACATTCTCGAAGCCCTGGCCTGGTAGCTCAGTTCCTTAGAGCATCATCCTGATACACCAAGGTTGCAGGTTTGATCCTGGGTCAGGACACATACAAAAAGCAACAAATGAATACACAAATAAATGGAACAACAAATCAGTGTTTCTCTCTCTCTCTCTCTCTCTCAAATCAATTAAAAACAACCAACAAAGCATGACATTCTTATTTTGTGAGATCAGTGCCCATTTGCCCCATCCCTGTTCTGTATGCTGAAAATCTCTCTGAAACACAGCTCTCTGGAGATGGGTCACTTTGTCAGTGTCTGTTAGCTTTGTTCTAAGTGTCATTTCTAACCCCTATTCTTGTACTTAGTGTCTATGCAATGTGTTCAGACTCCATCAGCAACTAGGTGCGCTCTGTCCAGATCAAGTGTCTGTGTGGCCCTGAAGAAGTCCTGCGACTACAGAGTTCTGAGCACAAACTCTCCCTAAAGGGTTAAAATACAAAACTGCTCAGAAGTGTTATCGTGAACCGGAAGTACATCTCCCATTCTGTCTTCACCTGCCTGTTTCACCAGTTGCTGTCGGCAACCTGGCCGTTCCATACTCGGCCACCAGGGGGCGGAGGCGGCCCGGGCAATGTCCCCACCAGAGAGGGAGAGCAGGACACCGCCAGACCCCAGTGTGCAGATCTGCATCTGCAGGCATGTACAATGACTGGCACTTCAGGGCCTCTCATTTTCCTACCTGCAACTTTGAGGGTGGGAGATGCAGGTTTCCAGGGTTCTCCAGGTGTCAGGGCTCCGCCATTTCCTCGTTTACTCACCAAATATTTATCAGGCACCTATGGGCGGCTAGGGATACAGCAGAAAACATATCAGACAAAGTCCTTGCCTTCAGGGAGTGGAACTTCTACCAGGAGCCCAACAATGGGCCTCAAATACGAGTCAGCACGGTCTCACCTGTGAGAGGGGAGTAGCACACTGTAGCAGGGACAACCAAGAGGCATGTCGGGGATGCTGTGACAGGACCGAGGGGAAACCTCCTTTGGCCAGGCCAGCCAGAGCCAGGCAATGTTTCAAACATCTGCTACATGGCCACCAAGATGGGGGGCTGATGAATGCTGTGATCACTACTTCAAGGCCAAGCATCTGGGGCTGGCGCTGCCAGCAATGTGTAGGACTGAATGGCAGCAGGGGCATGGGTCATATGGTGACAATGACAAAGATGGGGTCACTGACCTCACCTATAACATGGAATTCAATAGCAGGTGCCCAATGGCGAGGGCACTCCTGGCACTGGATAGGGCAGTGGCTCAACTTGGCCCGATAGATAGATCCCCAATCTGAGTGCCCTTAACCCCCAGTGCAGTGGCCACCACACTGTTTCCTGAGCCACCTCCTCCTCCGGAAAGGGGACTGCATCTCCAGAGGAAGTTTTTCCTGCCTCCAGGAAGTTCCTCTGTCCTCTGGCCAGGACAGAGGGAAGTCCCAGCTGGGCCACACCCAAATCCCTCTTTCACAGAATCTGTTTCTGTCTCGGTATCCAGTTCTCCTCAGGCTCAAAACCTTGACTTAAAGAGATTATTTTTCAGGGATCATTTGACACTCCCTGGCTGTGTCCTGGAATGGCCCAGGCCACACCAAGGTTTGGCCTGGTTGTGGGTACTACCACGTGCCTTGTCTGTGGAATGCAGGGCCAGGGTAGGCTTTGCACAAAGACAGAGCCCATGGCCATGTTGGTTTAGCCCCTATGACAGGACCAGTGGCCCATAGCCACATCACCTCTCTCCAGAATCTTCCAACCTTTATACCTTATCTGGTGCTCAGAGCCAGTGAGGATGGCAGAAGAGGGGGTGAATGTGGAACATACTCCTATCCTTTTCTTAAGTCACATGAAAGGGGCCAGAACCTAACTCTAACTCCATGTCCACACAACATGACACCCATC